ACTTATCTTTAGTCTGAAGAGATTAGAATGAATTGGTTTTTGTAACATTTTTCTTGAGAACTTTATAGACCTCATTATTATACTCATTGAAGTCTCCTGGTAGCAATCAAAATAAGTTTTAGCTGATTAAGTTTTAAATTGTTTTTACTTACTTTAACATTTCTTATGAGCCCACTGATGTAGTTTAGTAGCAGAGTTCTTACTAGCATTCACAGGGCCCTGGGCTCATTCCCTAGCACCACAGGGGAAAAAACCAAATTATTATAAGCTATTTTAGATATAATAAAAGGCATTTTTTTCAGTGTGTCCCCTAACTACAAATCTATAATTTACAGTCTCATGGCATCAGATTTCATTACAATAATGAAGATAAATGCACATACCTAGATAACTCTCACTGGTGCCAGGCCTGCTCCATGTACTTTATATACAGACTTGTCCAGTCGTCCCCTCAAACAGATAGTCTTTTTATGGTGAACAGCCAAGGAGATGAGGGCACAAAGAGGTGGCCCAGCTGCAGAGGGTGGTGCTGATTCACACACAAGTGACAGGTTCTAAGATTTGTGTTCTGGACAGCCTGGAACTATTCCAAGCTGAACCTTGAGTATCTTCTGCATCCATATTGAAGGACAGGAGAGAGAAAGGGTAGAGATTTGCTGCAGTATTACATCTTCCACAGCAGATAGTTAAGAAGGATCAACAGGACTCACCAAGTAAGGGGGTTACAGCCATGACTGAAGTGTTCCTGCTCCAAGGAAAGTTTTTATTTTTTAATTCATCCATCAGTCCTGGATGTTTGACAAGCAGCAGCATTTCCCCACATCAGTCATGTTCTCTGCTCCACGTTGAAGGGACATGACCATTTCAAGTGAGGGTGTCACTCCCTCTGCTTTTTTCTTCCAGGTACAACAGACTAGCAAGAGAGTGGACACAGAAATATGCTATGTAAGTGCCTCGGAGGTTTCGTGGGAGACATTGTTCAAGAGAAGCTGGCCAGGCAAAGAGGTCTTCCTGTGAAGCTCTGAGCTGTCAGCTAAGCCACTGACAGAGTGCCACCCATTCTTCACACATGTGGGCCACCCACTTTCTTTGGCTGCAGCATGTTGGTGCCATTCTCAGCCATGGTGGCTTTGACAATGTCACATCTTTGATGCCTAATCAGCAACCATTGTAACTATGATCCACAACCTTTCTGGTTACACTGGAATGGGTCGGTCTGCCCCAACTCATCTGCTCGTCTCTGKGAGGCCAGTCCCTGCACGCCTCCCCTGCCTGGCCTCAAATGGTGCTGCTGCTCACTATGGCACCACATGGGGGCCTAGCCTGGCCCCTCACTACATGCCCTTTGCCTTTAGAACTCAGTGTTGTCCTGGGTGCCCAGGACAGAGTGGGCTTCCTTGCATCCTGTCTGCTGCAGAATCACATCCCAAGGAGTCTGAGTGCATCCTGGAGGCTCCCAGGAATGGGACAGCATCACCGGAAAGCGGATGTCTCATTCTGTGGCTTCTGCTGTCTTCCTCTGCAGTGCCACATGCTGCATATCTCTCCTCACACCAAGAAGCAGCTAGTGGAAAATGTCAGGATATAAAGCACATAACACCCTCCCTCATGAGAGATGACTGTCTTTTTTAGATGCAAGAGCAAAATTATGAAACCATAGTGAGATTTGGGTTATGCTTTTATATGTGATGAGGTTTTTCCCTACCTCCACCTCCTCCCACCAGGATCCTATACAAAGTMCAAGTGTAAGCCATTTGCAGACTAGAACACAGGGAGGGGTAGAGACTCAACTGTAAATAAAAATGCAATTCCCTTAAGAGTCTAAATAATAGTTGATAAATTTAAGTCTCCTTCCCCCACCCCACCCCCCAGGCAGAACAGAAGATATGAAAACTTGACAGGGTTTTCAGAGCCTTAATTAGAATAGTCTGTTAAGTGCCTGGMTTCCTTGCTTGGCTTTCTGATTGAACACATTTTAAGGTTTGATTTTAGAGCTGACAGCTTTGAAATTAGGTGACTTAGGAAAAGGCATGAAAGGGATTTCAAATAAAACCTCCAAAGAAGGAGGAAAGTTGAAGGGCTTCAAATTTCTAAAGCCAAATTTAGTTTTTTCCAGGTTGGTTATTCCATTCTCACAGAGTGATGCTTGAGTGATTCAGAACAGAAGCAGGGCTGAGTTGTGCACACCTGCAATCTCAGTGACTTGGGAGGCTGAAACAGGAGGATCACAAGTTTAAGACCAGCCTCAACAACTTAGCAAGACCCAGTCTCAAAAAAAATTAAAAATGGCTGGGGACCTAGCTTAGTGGTAGAGCACCCCTGGGTTCAATAACCACTACTGCTAGAAGTAAAGAACAGGGCAGAGAAGAGTAAAACTGCAACCAAAAGGCCAGGAAAAACCTCTGAGGGCAATTGGAAGGTCTACAGATCTAGAACTTGGGGTTAACCAAAGATGACTGTGAGAGTTTGATTTGTTCCTGAAACTCCTAAGTTGTAGCTGCAACCTTATTGCCAGATGTTTTGTCAATGAGAATACCTTCCTGAGGTTATTCATGTCATTACTCCTTTTGCAAAAGATGGAGTAGATGGAGCCTGGTCTGCATTTGCCTTTTGGGGGTTTCCATTTAGGATTATCCTAGTATAAAGCTTCTTTTTGGGTCCTATGGTCCTTGTTCCTTGCTTCTCACCATGGTTAGGGTTGCCTTCTTAATTTCTCTTTACTACCCCTTTGGTCTTTGCTTAAACAGAACAGTAAGTCTTAATAAATGGTGAGAATGCCTTTACCAAGATGTCCTTCAGAAAGATGTTAATGCAGGCTCTGCTAAGCAGCAATGCCATGCAGTGTGTGAAATTGTGTACTTCAGTTCAGCATCACGGAAAATTTTGCATATAATGGTTTATGTAGATTAGGAAGTGGAGAATGATTCACATGTTATAGGCAGGTCAGAGGGGAAAATCAGACCCAAACTGGTGTCAGGGATGTGGGTATCCACATTCTGGATTTTCAAGCATAATAGTTTGAAGAAACGTGGATTTTCTGCATCCAGTCAAAATTTCCCAAGCCTCCCCTCTCTGCTCGAGATAGGTAGTAGAGAAAGTAAAATCAGCCCTTTGTGGATTCCCAGTAAAAATCTTGAYTCATTGTGAATCTTAAGTGGGCTTTATACTTGCTGACCCCTTGGACAGGCATGTTCTTGAGAAATCCCCTTAAGTTCTCTCCCAATGAGACAATCATCCACTTGTCATGCCTTCCAGGGCACAAGTCAGCCTGGAAAACACTCCTTGGGTCAAAGCTTTGTTGTAACGTTAAYTATGGTGTGGGGGCTCCTGTGTAACCCACATCTTCAGAAATCATGCTTCCAAGGCAAGTCCCTGGTTAGCAACTGGAGAGCAGATCTGAAAAGTCAGCTGTGGGGTAATGTGTTTCTTTCTTTGGACTAGAGAGGTCAGGGAGATGCATTTATTGTATCTAAGGATTGAAGCTAGGGGCACTTAACTACTGAGCCACATCACCACCTCTTTTTATTTTTCATTTTGAGACAGGGTCTTACTGAATTAGTTGGTACCTTGCTAAGTTGCTGAAGTTGGCTTTGAACTTGCAATCCTCCTGCCTCAGCCTCCTGAGCCACTGGGCTTACCTGGTGAGATACATGATCTTAAACAACAAATGTATGATGAATAAATGACTGTTAACTCTCCCAGAAGTTTCTGGTTTTGATGAATGGGGCTGAGATTTTGATCATCTGTCAGGTTCCAGGAATATCTGGGAATTACAAGAACATGACAAAGGGTCAAAATCTCACAGCAAGGATATTTAACCGTATTAAAATGGTAGCTTGGGTCACAGTGTTCCACGCCTGTAATCCCAGCAGCTGGAGAGGCTGAGACGAGAGAATTGCAAGTTCAACGCCAGCCTCAGCAACTTAGCAAGGCCCTAAGCAACTCAGTGAGACCCTGTCTCTAAGTGAAAATAAAAAGGGCTGGGGATGTAGCTCAGTAGTTAAGCACCCCTGGGTTCAATTCCCCAAAACAGACCCATGTAAAATGGTAGCTTGTAGCTAGCTGAGCAGTACATCAACACAGAAGAATTCCATACCACCTCACTGAAGTTTCTTAAGGATGGTCATATTTCAAAGTTTTCCTCAGTGTCAGAAAAGATGCTTATAGGCCTGATCTGCAGAATTACTGGCCTGGAGCCTGGTACCCAAAGAGGCAGAGAAGGAGCCCTAAGTTCACTATGGAGCCACTTGTCTCTCATCCCTTCTGGTGCCTGACTCCTCTGACTGGCACCTTGTATAAGGGATGGACCTTACATAGCACTGGATCTAGCCATGAGTGCTGGTTATCTGAGAAATGGAGGATGTGGCTATCAGCATCCCTAAATAGCAGCTTGATGCTATGTGGGCAGAAGCAGCAAATAAATCCTGAGCAGCATTCCTTCCAGAGGCCTGCTTGTTCACCTGAAGAAGGACTTACTGTTCACTTCTTGAGGCCAGTTTTCTGACTTTGTTGTCCCTACCATCTGGTCTTTCCCTGTTGACAGGTTTTATTTAAACAAAACCTAAAGCTATGGGAAATATGCAAAACTCCCAACAGTCCAAACAGTGTGGCTTCTCTGATTTTTCTAAAATATATCACCTAACACCTCCCTGYTTCTTCTAGGTCCCCACCCTCCAGACAGGCTCAATGGCATCCAGCTGCCTACAACAGGATACCCCTGGAGGGCAGGACCTTAGCAAGCCTTCATGTTGGAGGGCAACAGCAGATCTGCCTCTTGGAGCCTGCCTCTCACTCTGCTGTCTCCTAGTCCGCCTACAATAGTGCCAGTGTCTGATCATGCAAGAAAGACTGTCACTCCCAGATGGTCATTGTAATAATTTTCTATTTATGTTAAGTGGTATTATGAAAGCAGTATGTGTTATGCTTGAGTTTGGGACCTCCAGAAGACCACCAGAGACCAAGATCAATGTAAGCAGCAAAGAGGCATTTACTGAGAGCTAGGTCGGTCCTCCGAGCACACAGCAACTGGTGATGCTGAGAGGCCCCGAGCCTAGGGTTTGCAGCAGTTTTATACACTCTTTGGAGAAGGCAGGGAGTTTACRTACATCATAGCATCTCTTAGCAAATCATCACACACCGCAGGAAAATCATAAAACAACTCTAAAACATGATTAGTACGTTCACTGGAGGGAACAAGTTGGGTAAGGGTGATTGGTCAGTACAAGAGGGGGATTTGTTTAAACTGATTGGTTTAAGCCATGAGGGGAGTACATGCTGAACTACATGGTTTCCCAAAATGTTATCAACCACCATAAACTACTGGGAGGGTCATCTGACATCCCAGGTATTTTCCCTGTCTCATGCTGTTTGGTGATTGCTAGGGGTTTGCTATGGGTCCTCACCTAGCCTGAATCAGGGACACCTGGTGCCACAAATCTCTCCTGTTATTTGCAGGGTGGGTATGTGCCTAGGAGTGCTCTGTGGGTTTTTCAAGGACAAGGGTCACACCCCCTTCCTTGGACAGGCTTTGCTCTGAGGTAGAAGCTGGTTTCTCAAAAATGGAGTCACTCAGTTTCTCATATGCAAGATGTGATGGGAGGGAAACACAAGAAAAATGTGAGTGGGTGGGAAACAGGAATGGAGATGATCTACCTATGGTAGGTCCCATCCTCTCATTTAAAATYCACTTAAGATTCCATTAGATCTCCAAAAAACACAAAGCCCCTCCCCTGGACTTCTACCTGTGCCCTATCCTTCAGACCCTTTAGTCTGGTTCACACCTCAGAACGGAAACGTCTTCTCATGTTTCATGCACATTTGTGGATGGAAAAAAATGGTCTTTCCTGGAAGGGGGCTGGTTGAGGCAAGATGGTTCTTATCCTTCAAGGTGGTACAACCACCTCCTCCATGTGAAGGTAAAGCACAAAGYGAGTCCTTTTCATTCCTCCACTACCCCACACTTAACCAAACTGCAGAGGGAGAAAAAAAAAAGGGGGAACCGGCACAAAAGCATTTTTTTTTTTTTTTTTAGGTTTTGTAGCGGTGCGATCATCGCTTAGCATTCATTCACACGTGTATTCATTATGTGAACTGTACATGACTTATTCATAAATCAAACTTCTGGTGAGGATCCACACACTGGCTCGTGGGATCCGGTGTGGAGGAAGACTCGTGAATGCAGGCTCTCTTAAGTAAGTGCATTAACTCCGACAAGAATTAACAGAATTAAGCATCACTCCTGGAGCTACTAAGCGGTTGGACTGGAACCAGAGCACACTCTAGGCCACGCCTGGGGAGACCACCCTGCGGACGAACAGAAGCTGACAAGACTGTTCCTCTAGTTCGCCAGCGCCTGAAAAGAACAACCTCAAACCGCCTTCACCCCGAGGAGAGCCCAAAGGCTACGGTTCAGTCCCGCCTCTACTTTCACTTCCGGCCTCGGGGCGGGGCTTCCGGCTGTCAGAGGCGAGGCTTCCGTCCACCTGGGCGGGGCTCCGGCGGTCAAGGGAGGCTGGCCCCAAAAGCTGCATCGGCTGCGGCTCGGGAACTGTGGGGCGGACCATGGCGGCGAACCTGAGCCGGAACGGGCCCGCGCTGCAAGAGGCCTACGTGCGGGTGGTCACCGAGAAGTCCCCGACCGACTGGTGGGCAGCTGGGCGGGCCCGGAGTGGGTGGGGGACGCTAGCGACAGGCGGCGCGGCCGCAGGTGGTGCGAGGCTCACCTGCCTGCCCGCCCCACACCCCAGCTTTGTGCTGTCCCACCCTTTTCACCGCTGCCGCGTAGTTCGTGAACGGGTGGAACGGCTTGGGAGACCCAGCCCTTTCCCCTGCACCCTCGACGCCTAGTGTCGGCTTCGCGGCCCTCTCTGTAGGACTTCGCTCGGTGGTACTTGCTGGCCTCKCCAGGTTCTTTTTTCCAGCTCTGGGACTTCCCTGGAGAAAGGGGTCCTCCGCAGCTCCTCCACCCTCGCCTGAGAAGGCGGAAGCATCGCTTGGGTTCTTCCGAACGCTGAGTTCAGGGATGGCCTTTGAGAGGGGTCTGACAGTCGGGCTGGGAAACATGAGCTTGCTCTGGAGGCTCAGACAAGGAGGACAGGTTGGGGGCCCTAGTTCCCTGGGAATGTGGATTTCAAGACCTCTGCTTCTCTCTTCTTGTGTCTGARTCATGGGAAGAATAAAAATAGTATACTGGCCACCTATTTAGAAAAAAGTCAGGTCTTCCCTCTTCCACTCCCCRGCAGGCTTTGGGAGGCTATCAGTGTGTAGGTCCCCTTATGCAGTTGATGAAACTACAGTACTGGGAGCCTGAATTTGAAGTTTCTGGGGGTAACCCTGGGTAGCCCCCATACAGATCAACTCTCTGCCTTATGCATAGCTGTAAGTAATTCTCTAGTTCTCTTTTTCACTTTCCCATTTGCTTAAACTGTTTTCACTGACCAGTTTTTAGTGCTTTCAGTTCTAAGAAATATGCTTAGTATGGTAGATTTAGGTAACCAAACTTGGAAATTAGAAACTAGAACTTGGGGGTGGAGTTGTGGTGGGACCACCCCCACCCTGTGGTCAGCACTGAGACCTTCTCTACTGAGTCTACCCTACTATGTGGGTCCTCATGGACTCCCTTTCATTGTTCTGGGGTAGGCTTTGCTGCTGTAACTAGCCACCTCTCCTTGTCTAAGTGCTTTCTTGTCTCCTTTATACTTGCCTGGTGTCTCGGTCTTCTCAGGAACTGTCACTGTTTTTGTTTTTTTTGTTTTGTTTTGCTTTTTTTTTTTTTTTGTATTGGGAATTGAACCCAGGGATGCTTTACCACTGAGCTACATCCCCAGTCCTTTTTATATTTTACTTGCTATAGTAAGTTGCTGAGGGCTTCACTGAGTTGCTGAGGTGGGGCTCGAACTTTCAATCACCCTTCCTCATATCTAGAGTCACTGGTTACAGGCATGTGCCACTATGCCTGGTGAACTGTCACTGGTTTGGGTGTGATACCTCGCAGCCCAGCTGGTAGTGCAGACTTCCCTTGTTTCTAGTCTTTTCTTGGGTTTCTTACCAAAGTTGTCTACTGCCACCACAGCCTGGTTCTGACCTGTCCCATGTACTCTGTATTCCTCCTAAAGGTGCTTAGCCTCCTCTTACCATACTCTGCTTGGATAGCCATGCTGTTGCCCACTTACTCACCTCCAGGMTCCTGAATAACTGCAGATTGTGTCAATTGCATGAGCCCCTGGCCTCCAACCCTAATTGTCACAGCCATTTAGGTAGTTACTCAACAAACTGAGGCAAGTCCCCTTTCACTAGCTGAAAAAGATCTGGACTGTCTTACTTCCCTACCCATAACTCTGCAGTGACTTCCYGTTGCACATTGAGTAAAGCCCAGACTCCACCCCACTGACTTGCCCTATATAACCCTGTTTTGCCGCCCCTCCTGTTTACCACACTGTGGCCACACCTGCTCACTACTACTCTACCCTTGCCATTCTCTTCCTCAAATTTGTAATCTGGTTCCTCTTCAGAGCCCTTGCTCTTGTTACTTCCTCTGCCTGGAGCACCCTTCCTCTTCATCCCAGGTATGGGCATGCCTTCAGGTCTCTCCTCTGAGGTTTCCTTCTCAGAGACTTCTGAATTCCGAGCTCCCTGACTACAGTCACCTTTTCCTCTCCTTTAGTTTCACTTCCTTCATTTACATACCTTGTGGATTTTCTTGTCGCTTTTATCTCTTCAGTAAAAGGGGTAGGATGAACTTGTCTCTTTCCTTGGTGCCTGGTACAAAATTGTTTTGTGTATTCAAAGCTCAGATGAAGGGTGGACTGAATGATATAGAAGAAGCAGTAGAGAAGAGCTGATCTCCAGTTTGATGGGTCATTAAAGGTTTCATAYAGCAGATGGCATTGCATCAGGCCTTAAAGCCAGAACCACAGCCCTATTAGCTCTCTAACTTGAATCTGTCTCTAGTCTCCTCCCTTCAGATCTTGATGAGATTGTTCTCATCTGGTTCATTGTCCCATCCTGTGCCTTTTTTACTCTGTGGCAGTACATTAGCCTAGGTGTGTGGTCTATCTCTCTTGTTAGAAGGCAGGTTCCATGGGCGGAGCCTTTGGGGATTGTTCATAGCTGCATTCCTATTGCTAGTAAACAGTAGGTTCTTAGTATACATATTTGAAAGAATGATGGAATGTAAGGGCTTTATTTACATGCCACACATCCTTGCTATGCACAGGCCAGTGCACCAGATTTTTTCATGTTTTGAAAGAAGAGATGGGAATGTACCTCTGAACTGGGAACAGTCTTGAAGGTGGTTTAGAGTGGAACTCGGGGAGAGGGGAATGAAGTTGGAGGGATAGGTGGCAGATACTAARTTGGATTTATTAGCTGCCAGATCTCTTCTTAGAAGAGATAAGCTGCCATCTTCTGTTCCCTGCTGCTTGTGCCAGTCCCTGTGCCCTGGCAGCCAGGCCTTGTGGCCATCAAGAGGAATGGTCTTGTTGGGCATGGTGGTGCAYACCGGTAATCCCAATAGTTTGAGAGGCTGAAGCCAGAGGATTGCAAGTTCAAAGCCAATCTCAGCAACTTAGTGAGGCTCTGAGCAATTTAGCAAAACCTTGTCTCAACACATTAAAAAATGGCTGGGCATGAGGCCTGGTGCTTAAGCACCCCTGGGTTCAATCCCTGGCATCAGGAAAAAAAAAGAGAGAGAGGAATGGCCTTCTTTCCCCCCACAGAAAGTTCCACCAACTCAGGCTGACATCTACTACTTTCCAAATCTTTCTTCATATTTCACTGTGGTCCTCCCCCCTTCTATATTCTGTTTCCTCTCCTGATAAGCAGCAGCTCTTTTCTAGTGGTCTGCCTCCTTCCTACTAACCAGGTCCACTGGGCATGGGGTTTGATTTATCTTTCTCAGGCATATGCATCCGCCCAGTGGCATTGGCAGGCTCTTATCCCTAGAGCTTCTGTCTGTTCTTCCTCCAAAGCTAGAGAGATGACAGATACTGGGCTGGGTTTTATCTTGACTTTCTTTTAGAGAGATCATTGCCTCTACCCTATACCCACCAGCACTGTCAGAGGTGTTAAGTTCTTGCATGATTGGTACTGATGACTATGATTACACTATGGGGAACCTCAAGCAAAATTTGCCTCTCGAAGGCCATCTCTCCAAGAATGTTCTCCTTGAGTAACCCTTGTTCTTCATAGTTCAGATTTAATAAAATTTACTGTCTTTTCTCACCACCTCTAGGGCACAAGTTTGTAAGCCAAAATTTTTTCAGAGTCTTATAAATAATTAGTATTATCAGAAAGAAAGGCAGCCCAGTGTCAGCCATGGACAGTTAAGTTTCCACTAGATAGAAAGTCTGCATCTTGCCCACGGTTCCTGTCTGTAAGAGGTTGGTGGGTCACTGGTCTTAATTGACTTCTTGTAACATTGTCCCTGTGGGTTCTGATACTGTACACACCTATTAAAATCTGAGTTTGCCAGGAGACTATCTGAGGGAGACCTGCCACACCACCCTTCAGGCTTCACTAAGGCAGGGCAGATGCACACTCGAGTGTTGGCAGCCTCCAAGTTGCCTGGTGCATCTTTCTCCTTCCTATCTACTTACGTACCTCATTTCTATCTCTCCTTTGAGATGCTTTGGATTCAGAAATATATATGTATCTTTTGTCTTTTTTAATTCATGAACCTGGTAGCCAGATGAGTATTTTACACATAAATGTGTGGAATGTTATCATAAAACTCAACCACTTACATTTTCCTTTAAGTAGGTATGTGCATCCTATCTCCATGGCTTTTTCTCTCACAGCAAGTCCCGTGATTGTCAGCCTCAGCATGGCCTCAGACATGAGAACCTGTCTGGCAGGTCAGAGTGGGGCAAAGCAGAGTCTGCATCTTCCCTGGTAGGTGTGGTGAAGGCAGATGGAGCCCAGGGTGCTGACCACTGTACCCACTTTTGTTTTATTTCAGGGCTTTGTTTACCTACGAGGGCAATAGCAATGACATTCGTGTGGCTGGCACAGGAGGTGAGTATCCCTCAAATGGACTCTTAGCACCAGGAGGCCAGAGAATATGGTGTATAAAGGAAGAGGGTTTTGACTGTTACTGGTCCATCTCGTTGGCATTTCTGCTATCCCAACAAAAAAAAGGACTCAGGCAGACAGGTTTCCCCTGCATGTGACTCCACTGCAGTCACATCTCCCCTTTCTGAGTGTAAGAGTGGGAAACCTGCCTTCTGCAGACCTATCCCCACATTAGCTCCATTGAGGGATTCCTTGACTCCCTGATTAGGATATGAACCAACACAAGGCAGGTCTAGGGGCCAGAGCTCTATCAGTCCTCTGGGCAGCATGGGTCCTGGCCCTTTACTGGATACTTCTGGTAAGCTTTGGGTTTTAGATGTTTGTGAGTGAAAACATTCTTCCTCAACATTTTATCCCTGGATACAGGGAAGTGCTGCTCTTTCTGGAGAAGCCAAGTGAAAGTAGCCAGCCCTCTCCAGATCATGGGCAGTCTGTGCCCAGGAGGCTTCAGCTGGGTGGATGCTGGCTAGTGCAAGTACAGAAGCCCCACAGACCTTCTCCTCTGCCTCTTCTCTGCCCTTACCATGGGCAAGAGCACTGGGGAGAGGCAGTGTCACTGCAGGTGATGATGGGGACCTCAGTATGAGCCGTTTCTGCAGGAAGAACTGGCTCCTGGCCACCACTGGGCAGAAATTGTCAAGTAGGCTGAGCTAGAGATGATGTGGTATGAACCCGAACTGATACTCTGATCCCTCCCCATGCTCAAGGCCAGCATGCCTATACTCTGAGGTTCACCTGACTTCCTCCCACTCCCAGTACTGAGCARAACTTGGCTGTGTTGTTCAGTGAGTGCCTGGAACAAGTTCTCTGCTTGGTGGAACAAGTTCAGTTTTAGTGACAATTATCGATAGAAAGCCCTTCCTCCTACAAGCTGTTTTCACTGATGCATCCTCTTTCCAGAATGGGCACTGAATGGGCATCTCACATGACATGGTAGGTGCCTGAGAGTTGCAGGGATCAGCAGTCTAAGTGTTCTGCTATTGTTGCCAGTGACATAAAGCAGGACTATGCTACCAATGCAGCATTGACTGCCCAGGTTCTATGGAGTCCTGTAGCTAAAATACCTGGCCCAGTTCCTCCTTTCAGCTTTGGAAGTTTGGGGTTTGAGAATGAGTGTCATGGAGAATGGCTTATGCAGCCCATCCTACTCCCAGCATCTGAGACTCTGAGGACCAAGCCAGTTGTTCAGTTGTGAGATGTTACAAGAGATATGACCCTCTGGGTGACTCTGAGTTCTAAGTGAACATGTGGCTCCCAGTGGGGGTGACTTAGTAGCCCCACTATCCTGGGGCCCTTTGTGGAGTCCAGGCAACRGTAAAATTGATGTAGAGATCCTTCACTTTGATGTTTGTGATCTGTAGTAGAAATGATATTTTTAATTTCCAGAGTTTTCTTTGAGTTTAGAAGAGTGGTTTTTAAACTAGTGTGGGTTTAAAAAAAAAAAAAAGTCACTTGAGGTGCTTGTCAGAAAATTCAGTCTCCTACCCAGGTGTAGTAGTGGTGCACGCCTGTAATCCCAGCGACTTAGGGGGCTGAGGCAGGAGGATGGCAAGTTCAAAGCCAGCTTTAGCAACTTAGCGAAGCCCTAAGCAATTTAGCAAGACCCTSTCTCTAAAGAAAAAAGGGCTAGAGATGTGGCTCAGTGGTTAAGCACCCCTGGGTTCAATCCCTGGTACAAAAGAAAATGCAGTCTCTCAGGTCTCACGAGCTATGCTAAATCAGCCTAGTGTAAGTAGTTTATTTTGTTTTTATTTTTATTTTATTGTGGCATTGGGGATTGGACACTGGCCCTTAAACCTGCCAGAAGTGCTCTATCGCTGAGCTATACCCCTAACCCCAGGAACCTCATTTTAAATTCAGCTCCCAAGGAGGATTCTGAGGTGGATGGGTTAAGAAGCCCTGGTGAATAGTGGCTTGGGTTCCCTTACTGATGAATCAGGCATTAGGGTGGGCAAGGGACACTGGCCACCTCTAACCCTCTCTGTGACTCTGCAGAAGGTGGTCTGGAGGAGCTGGTGGAAGAACTCAACAGTGGGAAGGTGATGTATGCCTTCTGCAGGGTGAAGGACCCCAACTCTGGCCTGCCCAAGTTTGTCCTCATCAACTGGGTACGTGGACTCATCTCATCTAGTGTGACTGGGGAAAGTCCCTTGATTTATTTCTTGTTTTGACTTTTTTGGGGAACAGTGTATTTTACTGGCATGATTTATTAAACAGAACAGTTGAAAGCTGTTGAAAGAGCAGAATAGTTAATTAATTCATTGTAGCCCAAAGGATAACTGTCCTTGTCAGAGGAATCTCAACAAGTTCAAAGCTAGCTTCAGCAACTTAGTGAAATCTAGTCTCAAAATAAAAATTTAAAAAAGAACTAGGCATGTAGCTCCATGGTAGAGCCTATACCTAATGTGTGAGGCCCTAAGTTCAATCCCCAGTACAGCAAAAAATAAACAAAATAACTGGCCTTGCTACACAAAATTCATTCTCTAATCCCAGAATTAGTCCTGCAAAGTGAAATAAAAATAGTCAACAGAAGAAATTCCTGCCTCATTTCCTTCATGGTAATCCTTTTAGTGAAGCAGAAATCCTAAGGAGTGTGCAGGGACAGGAGCTCCAGCAGAGCGTAACCCACCTCATTGGGAATGAAGAAAGCTCAGAAGCCAGGTGCGGTAGTGCATGCCATAATCCCAGTGGCTTGGAAGGCTGAGGCAGGAGGATCACAAGTTCAAGATAGCCTCAGCAACTTAGCAAAGCCCTAAGCATCTTAGTGAGACCCTGTCTCTAAATAAAATATAAAAAGGGCTGGAGGCTCAGTGGTTAAGTGCTACTGGGTTCATTCCCCGGTACCAAAAAAAGAAGAAAAAGAAAGCTCAGGAAACTCCCCCACAGTGGAAACCAGCAGCTGTCCTGCCCAGAGAACAGTTCCTGAGCCCCTTGGAGGTGTAAGAACTAAACTCGTTGTGTGACTCAGTTGGGAGAATGATGGCTACTTTGAGGGGATTCTGTTTGGGGAGATAAGGAAGCTGCTGTGTCCCTGGGAACTTGTGGAAAGGGAAATGGCTTTGGGAGGAGGCCTGGGTCATGCTGGATGTGCTTGTGTTGCAGACAGGCGAGGGTGTGAATGATGTGCGGAAGGGAGCATGCGCCAACCACGTCAGCACCATGGCCAACTTCTTGAAGGTGAGGGCTACACCAATCCTGCTGTCCCATAAGGGGCCTCACAGGATCAAACACCCCAGGTTCCTGGGTGCATCTGAGTTGGAATTGGAGCTGGAGTCAGGAGCATGCTATTGACTAATGCTCTGTTTGGCTCTCAGGGCATGAGCAGAGGCTGCTCCTCTGGTGACCCAGGTACACTGGAGGTACATAGGAGGCAGGGATGTGACCAGATAGAAGGGTGTTCTCAACAGAGCAGAATTAAGGATCATGCTGGAGCTGATTCAATGGGAAGGGCTGGCCCTGGGTTTTGTTTTGTTTACAAGTACTCTAGATAGTTTAGCAGCATTGTCAGGATTTGGAGAAAGAAAAAGGATGCTTGTGCCCACCACCATAACATCATTTTAGTGTATTCATTTTCAGCCCATTTCTGCAAGTATTCACATCAGTTGTTCTATGGTCACCTTTTTTTCAATTTCAAAAGCAGTTATGTTGTAATTAATATTTGTTCACTTGCTAGATGACCTTTTTGCACTTCTTTGATTACTAGYAAAGAGACATCTTTGATTCCCAGTTCTACAAATACGTTTTCTGATATGCCTCAGTGTTTCCATCTAGTAGCTGAAAAGGCTTCCAAGTTTATTTGGTCTAGCTGGGCATAGTGGTGCATGCCTGTAATCCCAGCAACTCAGAAGGCTGAGGCAGGAGGATCACAAGTTCGAGGTCAGACTCAGCAAYTTAGTGAGGTCTTAAGCAACTTAGTGAGACCTTGTRTCAAAATAAATAGGTCTGGGCATGTGGCTTAGTGCTTAAGTGCCTCTGGGTTCAATTCCCCATACCAAAAAAAAGTTATTGGGTCTAGTATAACAGATAATGAGGTCATGGGTCTGCTTCTCAGGAAGAACTTGGTGGCTGACTGGGCATCTCCTGAGCTGCAGCCGGAACTATTACAACACAGAGAGGAAGGGCCTCAATTCCCAGCAGCCAGACAGATGCCTTGCCGTCTCCTGTGGGCAATGGTGGCCCCTGCTACGTGGATAGTCATGAGTTTTTTCATCCACCCCTATGCTTGCAAAGCTTATCTTTAAGTGCTGCTTCTGCCACAGGGGGCCCATGTGACCATCAATGCACGAGCAGAGGAGGATGTGGAGCCTGAGTGCATCATGCAGAAGGTGGCCAAGGCCTCCGGGGCCAACTACAGCTTCCACAGGGAAAGCAGCCGCTTCCAGGATGCAGGACCCCAGGCCCCAGTGGTGAGTGCTGCCTGCCCATCACTGAGCTCTCATTGCTGAGTACTTGAGGATGGGGGCCAGTAGTCTATATGGTTCCCAATGTCTATGTAGTTGGACTCCTCATGCCTGGCTTCCATAGATGGTAACCATACTTGCTGGTTGGCCCAGCCATTCCAGAGCCTTTGTCTGGAGCCAGCTATGTATGGTCAGGCTGGAGGCTCTTCAGGAATGCACAGCTATAATGGTCCAGCCATTTCCCAGGGTCACAGTGCCAGCAAGTCCTTTGTGGTCCCTAGCAGGAACCATTGTAGAGGAACTTCAGATGGCATCAGAGCAGAGCCCTACCCACCCACATTATAGGGAGACACCTGTAGATTTGTGATCCTTACACTGAGTGGTCAAGTTGATAGTGGGGAACTGTAGCATCAGACATACAGTTGGGTTCTGCAGTAATTCCTGTGGACAATGCTGTGCCAGTCAGCTCTCTAAGGGGTAGCCCTGGCCAGAGGCCTGCCTTGGAACTAGCTGGTCCCAAGGAGTCTGCAGACAGGACCTTTCCTGCCTTGGCCCCCATGCACAAGGGCTAGGTGCCACCAGAGACCCCTCCAGTATTCTTGGGATTCAGCATCACTGCTGGGGCAGATTCCTGGGCCTCTTTCTGGGCACGTGGTATCTGTCTCCTTGAGGGTGAAGGGCCAGGCTCTTACRTCCCCACTGAGTCCACTTACATGCTCTTAAAAATCCTTTCCACCCTACTCCTACCTCTGTACCTCGGGGCCTRTTCTTCCACCCAGGGCCAGGTCTCTAGCATTTGCTATCCCCCACAGGGTTCTGTGTACCAGAAGACCAATGCCATATCTGAGATCAAGAGAGTTGGAAAAGACAGCTTCTGGGCCAAAGCTGAGGTAAGAACCATGGAGTAGGGGCAGGCACGCTGATGAGCATGCTACACAGGCGTGTAGTGAGTGTTCTACCTGATCTTTTATAGGTAGTTAAAGTAAGGCGTAAGTGGATTAAGTCACAAGGCATGTGAGGGATGTGCTGTAGTGTCTTTCCTCAACCACATGCCTGTGGGACCTGGTTCAAGACAGGGGGTGAGGCCAGGGGTCAGTGTAGGGTTGAGTGGCCAGCCCTCCCTACAGAAGGAGGAGGAGAACCGCCGGCTGGAGGAGAAGCGACGGGCTGAGGAGGAGCAGCGGCAGCTGGAAAAGGAACGCCGGGAGCGGGAGCTGCAGGAGGCTGCCCGCCGAGAGCAGCGCTACCAGGAGCAGCACAGAGAAACCAGCCCCTCAAGGTAAGCCCACCATTCACTGGGCTAGGGTGCTGGCCTCATGGTGGGGGGATCCCTTGGGTGTCCCTGTGTGCTCACTTAATCCCTCAGAGGCAGGACAACTGAGGGTACAGCATGAGGGGCTGCTGAAGAGCCTTAGCTGTCTTCCCCGACTCTGGCCCTTCCCAACAGGACAGGTGAACAGCAGCAAGAAGTGGTTTCGAAGAACAGGGAGGAGCAGGTTAGTCTTGGCATTTTCTCGCAAAGGGTCTGGAAACTTTCTAGTTTGGATCCATCACATGTCAAAGCGCCTGAACTCAGATTGAGGGCTCAGCTCAGATTCCTGAGACATATCTGGGCATATCAGATATGCCAGTGGGAAGGAAAACCAGGAGCAGAAACTCTGGCATGGATTGCAACCTAGTCCTGGGAGAGGTCCTATCAGCCCCTTGGCTTCTTGGCCCCGCTGTAGCCTTCAGGGCCTACTTGCTGGGGTAGGGAGCAGTGATGTGAGAAGCTCTTGAGTCTTACTGCTCGGGTCAATGTGTGCTCCCCTAGGTGTTTTCTGATCAGCGGACTGCACACCCACGGGAGATTTTCAAGCAGAAGGAGAGGGCCATGTCTACCACCTCCATCTCTAGCCCTCAGCCAGGTAGGTGGGTCATCCCTCTGGGCCTGGTCACAAGACAGGTGTATTGGAGAATGACAAGGAATAAGTGAGGAGAGTAGCTTCGGGCTGAGGTGTCTCCTCCTACCCATATGGCTGTGCTGCCTGCCATCTCTCTGCACAGCCCTGGAGTCTCTGTACCTGTGCTAGCTGGGGCCAGCTCCCTTGGGCTGCTCTAACGGACCAGGTGCCAAGAAGTGGTTCTGAAGTGGTGGGGATGTTGTTTGTGGGGGTTTGCAGGCAAGCTGAGGAGCCCCTTCCTGCAGAAACAGCTCACCCAACCAGAGACCTCCTTTGGCAGAGAGCCAACTTCTGCTGTCTCAAGGCCCAGGGCAGGCAAGGCATTTATTATTCTATGGGACCCTGGAGGGGGACTATGGTGGAGAAGGGAGGGTTGTGGGAAGGAGAGGAGTCAGAAGCTGCTATGTCCTCTATGCAGATGTCTGTGAGGAGCCAGCACCCAGCATTCCTCCAAGTCTGGTGCAGGCAGAAGAGGAAGCCACGTACGAGGAGCCTCCAGAGCAAGAGCCCCTCTACGAGGAGCCCCCAATGGTGGGTTCTCTGTAATGGGGTGGGGCAGTGAAGGAGTCAYAGGCATGAGTTTTCTGTGACACACTAACGGTTTTGAAGCACTTATGAATTCTCATTCAACTTTTSAAAGAACCCCATGCTATAAATTATGTGAGCCAGTGCCCATGTGACTAATGCTGAGTGAGGGAAGCACCTTGCAGTTTGGGACTACAAAGGCATTTGCACTGTCTTTCAGCCTCTATATCTTGGGGAGATGACTGTAGTGCGGGTGTGTTAGGACAGCAGTAGCCCCCAGCCTTATGTTGCTGCTCACCCTGCGTGTGCTGTTACCCCCTTCTCAGGCCCCAGCTTGACCTGAGCCACCTGGGTGAGAAGGCTGAGTCTGGGTTAATCCCATCTTTCTCTCAGCAGGTCCAGCAGCAAGACACTGGCTCTGAGCACATTGACCACTATACACAGGGCCAGGGGCTTAGTGGGCAAGGGCTGTGTGCCCGGGCCTTGTACGACTACCAAGCAGGTAAGGTGCCCTACCTGGCTGCCACAGATCGTGGGTCCTGAGATTAGGAGTTAGGAGCAAAGGACTGGGGCTCTGTAGGGAGACAGCACCAAGGATGTTGGGAAACAAAGAGGAAGGTGGGAGATAAGTTTGAGGATGGAAGCCCCACTGGAATTGTGATGACCATGGCACTGAAGTTTCCATCCTAAGACAGCCTGGGCCTCCCCCACATACTCTAGCCAGCTGCTTACCATCCCTTCACAGGAACCCCAGTTGCCATCTTGTATAGCCTCCAGGTCTGACCAGAGAATGGAGCTGCCTTCCCAAAGGAGACCTTGGGGAAAGGGCTGAGGGTTTTTKGGGAGCAGCCTTTTGTAGAAGTGCTCTGTAGGAAGATGTTCCCAGGTGTAGGGGGCGGGCATTGCAGTACTATTAGGCTCTGTATGGTTTGTATGACAATGGGATGTGACCAAGGAGAAAGCAGACAGCCGAAAGCTCTAGTGCATGAGGGGATGGGGCTTCCCAAGAGGCACACAAGTATTGGGGACTTGTGAGCAAGGCCCCTGATGTAGCACCTGGGCTTAATCTTCCTGCAGCGGATGACACTGAGATCTCCTTTGATCCTGAGAACCTCATTACTGGCATCGAGGTGATCGACGAAGGCTGGTGGCGTGGCTATGGACCCGATGGCCACTTTGGCATGTTCCCTGCCAACTACGTGGAGCTCATTGAGTGAGGCTGAAGCCCATCTTTCCCTTCCCCACCCAGATGTGGCTTCCTTATTGTTAAAAGAGAAGATGCAAGAGTCAGTGTTTGGCACTTCCAAGAATGGAACCACAATGAGGAAAAGGCCTCAGGGCTCCTCTGGCTTGGGTGGTTCAGCCTCTGTCACCCCAGATGCAGCAATAACCCAGTGATTCACAAACACACTTCCTGCAACTTCCCAGATCCTTCCACTAGTGTGGCTCTTCACATCTGTGGGACACTAAGCTAAGCCCCACCCATAGTGAGCCCCCAGGTAATCTCTGCCTGAAGAGAGTAAGTACTGCTAAGCCAGGTCTCTGAGCAGGAGCATCTGGAGCAGCCTTCTGCATTTGCCTCTTTCTTTCTCTCTGGCTTCTAAAGGATGGTGGCTGTAACTATTTAGAATGACCTTTGGGAACAGTGAATTTAGAGAATTGCTTTTACCAGTCTATGACCAAAGTCAGTGGACCATGATGAGTTTGACAGCAGGGAGTTATTGTCTTACTGGAGCCTGCCTGGCCCCACTCCATTTCTGTCCCTCTGTTTGGGCCTTGGGAAGTGGGGATTGGGATGACCAAGCTCCCATTTCTGGGTATGTGAAAAATCAAAGACACGATGTGTCCTTGCTGTCTCCCTGTTTTCTATCCCAGCCTGTGTGTCTGAAGAACAAATCCAAGAATTGCAGTTTGGTACCCAGGCTCCCAGTTCTGGTCTGACCTGCTGTAGCTTGCTACTCCTATGTGGAAACAAACCCCAACTGGAAGTCTGCATCTGCTTTGTGTCTGGGATGGATGTGTTTGTGTGAGTGAAAATGCACATGCATATGCACGGTCCTATCCTCAGACCTCAGTGACCAATTAGTCAACTAGGAGAGGCATAAATGTTAGCATGTGACTGAAGTTGGAGCCTGCCTGCATTTTAGTTCCTCTGGGAAAGGCCAAGGCAGTGCAGCTCCCTACCATAAGGAGTTTCTGCTATATGGCACAATACACATGGAGACCTGCTCAATAACTGGGCAATAAGGTCCTTGTGCCTAGGGGGTGCCCAATGGCATGCTTGTTTCTGGGCCTCACCTGCTGGCAGCCTAGGGTGAAGGCTGCATGAGGAAAGCAGTGGTCAAGCCTGATGTTCCCCAGTGCCAATCCTTCCTGTCCCTTACTTAGGCTTCCTCCCATTCTACTATAAAGATAGCAGGCCATGGCAACCTTATGAATCTGGCCTGTTGTAAGCTGTGAGGCCCCATGGGCTTGTCTGTGCTCACCAGGAGGTGGGGCTTAGAGATAGTAGAGAACCACTTGTTCTCTAAAGGAAGCTTGCCAAGAAATATTGCCCTGTGCTTCCTTTGGGGAGGGCTGGGTCACTTAGGCTCCTYTCCCTAAAGTACCCTAATTCAAGAACATGGTTACCAAATGGCTTTAAAGCTTGAGGGTTTCTTTGGAGTACAGGTAGTCACTGCCCTGGTTCAACCCCAATAGCCAGGTCTGGGCACTAGGCTCCTGTCCCTGGGTGATGTGGGCTCCAGGAATAGCTGTACTGGTCCCTGGGGCCAACACAGCTAATGGGGTGAGCTGAGTAGGCCATGACCCTGCCATGCCTGGCCATATTGAACTCAAGGCAATATGCAGAGAGTTGTCTTTATTGCCATACCCACCCTCACTTAGCCTTTCCCTGTGCAGCCACAGCTTCCATGGCCTTCCGCACTGTCTCCTCATCTCCCAGGAACCGCATAGGCTTGGTGGGCTTCAGTGCCTGGTCCAGCTCATACACGATGGGGATCCCAGTGGGCAGGTTCAGATCCATGATGGCCTGGTCTGACATTCCTGGACCAGAAAATAACATCCTTAGCCTCACTATCCACAGCCTTTCCATACAACAGACATAGTGGCCTTTTTGGGCAACAAGCTGGRCTGCCTGGCACTAATCCTCCCAGCCCTGAGATCAAGGCCACTAAAATGTACCTAAAGGTCAAGGCAGAACTAAGCTAGACTGAGCAGCCTACAGAAATAGCCCAGTGGCAAGACATGAACTTCATCCTCCGTGAGCAGCTGTGACCTGTGTGGTGCTATCCACTGTTTCCTTAGCCCAATATGAACTGGCCAGACTAAAGTTGAAGGTCGGAAGGATATCCTAACCATTTGGTCTCTAGATTCTAAATTCTGAGCAGAGGAATGAGTGGAAACCTGACCTGCCTGCTGCTGCAGGACCCACCACCAATAGCAATTCAATCTGGCATTGGCATCACCCTACCCCCACCATGTGGAAGGACTAGAGAATGTTCCCTGGGAAGTTGGGAACACCCCCACCCGCCTGGTGCCTGATCACACTCATCATAGTGCCTCTTCCCTTTAGTGCAGGTTGAGGCATGTGGGGTTATGGAGCCCCCAGAAGGAGTGGGGGGGGTCAGCACATAGGAGCCAGAGATCTAGGGTACATCCCATTCCTTTACTATGATCTCCACACACCTGAAGGTCATTCAGAGGCTRATTTAGACTGTCCTGACATCTAAGAACTAGTGGAAGAGATCATCACTTGGGAGCCTCTCCTTTCCTGCGTAGATGTCAAGGCCCATTTGTCAACATTCCTTGCTGTTTTTGCGGGGGACAGGGAGTAACCATTGAGCCACCTCCCCAACCCTTTTTTTATTTTTTGAGAGTTTTACTAAGTTGCTGAGGCTGTTTTTCAAACTTGGAATCCTCCTGCCTCAGCCTTCCAAGTGGCTGGGATTACCAGCATTTGCCAATGCACCCAGCCTTCCTTGCTCTTTAGTGGGAGCCACAGTACATGCTGGAGGCTGGGTGGGTATTCATTAGCTCTGCACCAAATTTCATGGTTCTCTTGGGAAGGGGAACCCAAGAGAGCAGATTCCCTGCACAGATTAGCTCCCCTGCAATGATTTGGAGCCAAGTGCCCTGAGTCCTGGCCCTTTTCCTAGCTGGGTATCCTTGGGAAAGATGCCACCTTCAAGCCTATCTCACCTCTTTTAAGCTCCTRTGGTGGGGCAGGGGGGTGCCACCTCCCCAGGCAGGCTGGCCCAGTGGGTGCTGTGTCCATGAAACCCACAACTTTCCCAGAACATATAGAAATGAAGTAAGTCACAGAATGGTTTTTAAAATGTTTTCTCAGCCCTCTATATTCAATGCATTGACTGAAACCCCCACCTCTGCTCAGTTGCCGAAAGGAAAGGCACTGTCATCCYCACCTGTCTCTGCCCCACACCCTCTTGAGGATGGGCCTCACCTTCCAGGTGCTTGACGATGCCCCGTAAGCTATTCCCATGGGCTGCAATGAGCACTCTCTTGCCAGCTTTGATCTGGGGGGCAATCTCCTCATTCCAGAAAGGCAGGGCCCGGGCAATGGTGTCCTTGAGACTCTCACAGGTGGGCAGCTCCCCAGGTTTCAGGCCTGCATACCGACGTTCCTGGGGAGAGGAACGGGGACATTTCTGTTCCCTCCCTGGGCAATTGGTTTCCAACCCAGGTTCCCAACCTCAGACCTTCCAGGGATCTTCCCAGCAGCCCACCTTGCTGATGGCATTGTAGTAGGGGTGCTTCTCATCCATAGGGGGCGGCGGGGTGTCGAAGGAGCGCCTCCAGATTTTCACCTGCTCCTCCCCGTGCTTGGCGGCGGTCTCTGCCTTGTTGAGGCCTGTGAGGCCCCCATAGTGCCGCTCATTGAGGCGCCAAGTGCGCACTACAGGCAGCCACATCTGGTCTGTGCCATCCAGGATGGTCCAGAGGGTCCGGATGGCCCGCTTCAGCACTGATGTGTAGCAGATATCAAACTCCATGTTGGCGTCCTTGATGGCTTTGGCCCCACGCTTGGCCTCCTCTGCCCCTTTCTCACTCAGCTCTGCATCAAACCAGCCACAGAAACGGTTTTCCTGGTTCCATGTGCTCTCACCGTGGCGGACCATCACCAGGCGGTGGGTAGCCATGGTGGCAGGGAGACACAGGGGCTCCAGACAGGGACAGCTGCCTCCCTAGCACCCCGAGCTTTATAACGGTCTGTCCCCAACCCCCATCCCAGCCAACTGCCAATCAGCATTCCAAGCGGGACAGGCGGCGGCAGGTGGCCAGTAGTGGCAGAGTGGCTGAGGGTGGGAGTGCCAGCCACAGAGCTGGACTTAAAAATAGCTTCACATAACCACCAGCCCCTGACCCAGCTCTGCTGACGTGTCTATAACCAGCCTAGGGCCCAGGTTGGGTGGGGCTGCTGAGCAGAGCCAGGGTGAAGGGCAAAAGTCAGGCCTGGAGCAAGTGGAGGCTGGCTTTCCAGGGGAAGAATCCTTGAGGCCAGAACTCTGCAGCCCCATCAATCCATCACTGCCCCTTTGTGGGTCACTCTGTGGTGCTGGGGAACAAATTCCAGGGCCTTGTGCATGCCAGGCACTTGTTCTAGAGTACATCCCCAGCCCCTCTCAATTAAATGGGACAAACCTGTGTCTCAAGAAACTGGACCAGTGTCAAGAAAAGCCCAGGGAGTGTGCATGTGTCACCCTTGTATGTAGGTCTGTGAGTCTAAGTGTATGTGTCAAGTACACATCCGTATCAAGTGTGTGCAGCAAATTATTGTGTGCACAAATCTATTCCTTGTGTGCCTGTGTGTACTGTCTKCAATACTTGTGTTGTAGGTATATGTTTGCCAAGTGCCACCAGTGGCTTTGCTCTGCTCAACCTGGTTAGTTGTATGTGATGGGGGCCTTCCTCAGGTGTCCTGATTTCTCCCTGGCAGGCCTTCCCTCTTTTCCAGCCCTGCATTATAATCCCTGCTGACCATGACCATCAGCTGCAGGGGCAGGCAGATGAGAAAGACCACACTCAAAAGTTCATTGGAATAGGTCACTACTTTTTTCTTCTAATATTGCTTAGCCTGGATGAGAAGGCAGTTTGAAACTGGATGTATACCTACTGTGGACAGAAAGGCCCCTGGAGAATGTGTCTAGGAAGGAGGAAATGAAGCCCTATAAGAGAGTCTGTGAAATTTCCATTTTTCTCTTTCTTCATAGAAGTGGCAGTGGTGGTATGGTGAGGGCTGTCTGTGCCCACCAAGCAGGTATCTGAAACCAGAGAGGGAAGCTACAGCCCCCAGAGCATGGGGCAACTCTGCTGTACCCTCTGCCCCTGCAGTGGGCCTGGACACAATGGAGGAATTATGTAGCAGGCTGGGAAGCAAAAGCTCTATATTTCTGGCTGGAGACCTTGGAAGGGAGGCCCTGAAGAGCTGTAAATTACCACAGAGAGCCTGTGGAGGGGGGGGAGACTGAATGATTGGGTAAGTCTATATGAGCTCCCAGGCTTAATGCCCAGCTGTGTATGTGGGGTCAGATCCTAGATGTATGCTACGGATCTAAGCCTGACTAGTGCAGATACAGGCCTAATCAGGCTAGTTGAGAAAACTCTAGTTTAACTAGAGTTAAACTTTAAACAACCAAAATTCTGCTTAGGATTTAAACAAGATCCCACATCTCAACATAATATTCAAACAGCCGGGATATAATCCAAAGTTATCCAGTATTATCAAAATCAGTGAAATCTCACCATGGCACAAAAAGGACAATTAGGATGCTCTCAGTGAGGTGAGTCAATTGTCAAACTGTCACATAAAGCACTATCTTAAACCAGTCTTCAGAAAGTATTGGTAAACATACTAGCTGGGTTTGGTGGTGTATACCTGTAATCCCAGCAATGCATGGCCTCCTCAGGAGGTGAGACAGGTGGATTACAAATTTAAATTTTTTTTTTAATTTAAAATGTCTGGGGATGGGATGTAGCTCAGTGATAAAGAGTGTCCTAGGTTCAATCCCCAGTATTGCCAAAACTGAAAAAAAAATATTGGTAAATATTTTTAAAATGAATGAAA